CGACTTCTGATGCAGTAGGTATGGCATATTGTCATTCATCACGTGCTTTAATTATAGTCATTTTCAAATCTTGTGCTAGATTATCATGCGTTAATTGAGCAGCTTGTTGGAAAATATAAAAATACAGATTCATCTCATGAAGCATTACTTGGAGCTTGGTCAGTATAGAAGGATCCAAATTTGGCATATGATGATGTTTGTGTAACTATTAGGTGTCTGTATCATATAAATAAATTTGGCAATATTTTGGTTCATTAGGATCTTCTGGTAGAAGTGAACTAATTTGATGATACATCTCGCCGTGAATATGAAAGAATAAACACTGTGGGTTCCCATTACTTTGTCATCTATCCTTGTACTCATCGAAGTAAAAGTGAGAGCTGAATTATACATTCAAATTTTTTTTCAAAAATTGCGAGAACGTGCATCATTTTTAGTTAATAAAAAATGCAAATTTGGTGGCATTAGAGCTAATAGTTGCAAATACACTTTTCTTTTTGCATAGCAAGTGCTAAAGACTAGCTTCTTAACTGTTCTGGCAACCTTTTCATTCTTCTAATGCAAAGCACCACATTGTCTACATTCAATATTCATAAAGCTCAGGTTATGCAACGAAACAACACTACTATCATAATGCTTCATATAGGCTGTATTAGATGCATGATGATTTGTTTTTCTGCGCTTTATTCTTTATGATTCAGCATGCTTAGGGGTTTTGACTGAAATTCAGGAGCATAGGCTTCTCGATCATTTATACATCACTATTGAATCTGTTGTATAGTAAGAGTAGAATTGCACTACACATATACTTTTCTTTTTAGCTGATTTTTACGATTACATGCACTTTCTATGTTTTCACTAGCTGACTTTCTAACAGTTTGAGCCATTTTTTGCATATAACGCTCTCTAGCTAGGCGGTTTGATGCTCTCTTGCAGTTTCAGAAAGTTGTAAAGCATTGTCAGTTGTTTCTTTTGCAACAAATTTTACTTTGGTCATCTCAACAGGCATTTCATTTGCATTTAATTCAGTTAATACACACGACATATTATTGGTTGAATCTATTTCAGTCAGTTCAAAAGACATATTAATGGCTGTACCCAAATAGGTCAACTTGAAAAACATATTATTAGTTGTATTTGTTCTAGTCATAGCAAAAAAGTATCAATTAGTAGTTTTTTAATTATCTCAGAAAATATAATTATTGTTAGAAAAAAGAGTGAAAAGGAATAAAAATGTGTACAGCAAATCATGTGAACAAAAAACCTATTTATATACCCTATATATATGTACAAAAAAATGTACAAAATGAGCGAAGTTTAATAAAATCAAGGTAATGCATTTCAGAATAATATGTTAGTCCAAAATTTTTATAATAATGTGAAATTCGCAGCTTCAAAAAGGCATTTACTTGTATTATTAAAATGGATATGTATCATTACTAATAAATAACTATTCGTAAATTTTTTTTAAAAAACATTGACAATAGAGTATGCTTATGATTGTGCTATACAAAAATTTCCAAAGAAATTTTTATATATGCATAAATTTTCTATTGTTAGGGCATCGATCATTAGCCAGGCATATGATTGTATTAGAAATAGGGTGAATGTTCAAAATAAGAAAATAATGATCATGATCATGCATATTTAGTTTAGCCAATCAAATTTGTAAATATTTATTTATAATACAAAATATCACATATTGATTAGCCAATAAAATAGTAAATTTTTATAAACCAAAAAAAAAAGAAATTTAATTGAAATTTATAAAATAGTAAATTTTTATAAAATGAAAAAAAAGAAATTTAATAGTAAAAGTTCAAAACAAATACTACTAATGTTATTGTCAGGTAAATAAGCATATATTTATTAAATTAAATCGAGATTATTGATTTTTCAATAGTATTTATTTACAAAAACCTCAATAATAATCTCTATACGTTTAACTATATATCTAATTCAACGTCTAATTTTACATCTAATTTGAAGCGCTTATATAACAATCGGCAAACTTGGGACATACTCGGATGATCACTCCTGTTCTGTTATCATTAGGGCATTAATCATTAGCCCGATGGCAATCATATTACAATAAATAGCAATCATTTATAAATACTGTGTTAGGCAAGCACGTAATGTGAGACTGATAAAACATCAAAAAATTTGTATTATAGATAAAGTACAACAAAGTTATAGTTATATGGCATTTGTGGTAGTCTCTATTTGCAAAATCAATACCTTATTGATTAACATGTATAGCAGTGAGTAAGAATATAAAATTTGAGTAATTGAAGTTAATTTAATAATACTAGGAATGCAGTAGAACAAAGTGTATAATTCTATTCGAATTTATATTTATACACAAAATTTTGATTAGATTTAGTAATTGGATGATTGTTATGATACATGTACATCAATATACCTCCTAAACGAGTTTGGAAACTGGTTCCCTAGCCAATCAGCATCAGATATGTAGATGCTACACAAACAATCAGTGTGTAATGTTAAAATTAAAAAAAAATATTCATTTATTCAAAAAATCATTTCTATCTTGAAATTTCACATATGAAACTATCTTTTGCATTATAACAAAAAAAATTTCTTGCAAAATTTTGATATAGATATTTTCTAATGCCTACTCTAACCCTAACACTATCCTTGGCCCTAACTTTAACAGTTAACCTTAGTTTTGTTAACGTTAAATAACAACAATAATGATTATTTCCATTTTGGGTGGAGAGTACATAGTGGCTAGAAACTGGTTTTCAAACTGGTTTGGGGCACATAGATGCACTTGTTATGATACAATTCTTGTTTTACATATATACTAAAGTAGCATGTATAATTACAAAATTCATTATCTGCATTCCTAGTTTTAGTATAACTACGTAATGCAGCTACCTTATTTAAAAACCAGTTTAAAACTGATAATCTGATTTTATTTACAAAGTCAAATTTAAATTCTATATATTTTTTATTGTAAATCAGATTGATATTTTAAACTGAATATCTGGTTATAAACTGATACGATTCCAACCACTACAAAAAACAATACTAACGAAGTATTTAAAATGAATCAAATTGATTTGAATGACTGTAATTATCTGTATCGTAAATTTTCTTATCAAAAAAGTAATTAGATAAATATATGCAGTTAATCCAAGTGAAGAAGAATATTATTACTTATGTATACTTTTAAATAATGTTAAAGACATTATTCACTGATTTAAAAATTGTAGATAATTATGAATGTGCAACATTTAAAGATAGTACAATAGAGTGAAAATTAATAGAAACCAATTAGATGTATCATGAAACTATACAAAAGCTATATAGTTTTAAATGCCTTTTGCATTGCAGTAACTCTTTGCTACAATATTAATATTTGGAGAGCCAAGTAATATTGTTCTTTGTAAAATACTAATTACAATGCTATATCTAAAGATTTTGCAAGGAAGGTATTTCTAATAACTATCTTCAAATTAATGCAGTTCTTTTGCAAATAAAAAATTTTTTGAAATAATATCATAGATTATTAAATAAATATGATCTCTTCTCACTAATCTTGTCTGATAGTAGCTTTCTAAATGAACTGCTCAGATAAATACTAAATAAATTAAATATTCCTGTAAATACTAAAGACTTAGAGAAAATTAAATTATTAAATAAAAACCAAAGGTTGATATTTAAGATTATTATAAACTATTATCATTTTCATTGATAAACCTGCAGATATTTATATAAATTAAAATTTTAATCCTACTTTCTAATTTATAATAATAAATTTATATAGCTTACAGCAATTTCAAATTAGTATAATTGGCAACTTTTATAAATTATACACTATATATAATTTAAGAATTAAAAATTTTAAATTTAATCAAACTTCACTACTAAAATTAACTAACAAATAACCACTTATTTTAACTTAGTAATTATCAAATCACTAATAAATTTTTTCAAAAATTTCCTAATATTAATGAATCAATTTTAATATTCAAAATTACCATTAATTTTTTAATATTATTCAACTTAAAACTGATTCTTGTATATAACTAAATATAATGTTAGAAAAGAAAAATTAAAAAATATGTAAAAATTTTTTATTTGTAAACAATAATTAGACTTACTAAAAGTAAAATTTGTTATTCTAAAGAAAAATATTCATCAAAAGTTATATTAATCTAAAAACACAACTTTATTAATATTTATATATTCAATTCATTTATTAAATAATCTAAACTAAGTTATCACATAACATATCTAATTTTTTGATTAATATTTATTTAAAAAGTATAGGAAAACCTTTCTATATCTTTACTTGTTTGCCAAAATTTGCTTAACTTCTTTAATAGCACTTGCAATAGCTTCATCTGGTATTATCATATTGTTTATGACCAAAAGTAAACTGCACATTTCATATTCAAACTCTATTTGGATATTAATTTAGATTCAATTTGCACATTTAGCAAATAAAACCATTTAGTCAAATTGCTAAAACTAACTAAACTAATTATCTGAGATGAAGTTTTCATAATGAATTGTTATTCAATATAAGCTCTAAACCAATCTCTAAGTGACATAATAGAATGTAATTTTCAATTTAGTGGAAAAGTTTTGTATTTAATAAAGACTTCTGCTAAATCTTATCTATAGTCCTACAAGAAAGTCATGCACAAATAGTAAATGCTACATTAAAATTTCCTCTTTATAGTCTAAAATGAAAATTATCATCTTTACCAAAATATGTGTGTTGAAAACAATCTAGAAGGCAATGAATTTAAAATTTTCTGTTAAAAATTGGAAATAGAAATAAACAAACTATAAATGATAATATGATTTAAATTCTAAATAATATAATAATTTATTAGCATATGAAACTCTTTACAAGCACTTATAAACAAAATATATTTATCTCTTCTTATAAACTATTCAAATGTTTCTTACTTTACTGATAGAACTATACTTACTACTAAAAATAAATATATTGATTGTATTAACAACATAATATTAGATCAATTACCAGACAATTGCATAATATATCAAAGTTTTAATACTGTTTCTTATAATAATAGTAACACTATCAATAGAAATTCCTCAATTCTATAAATATAGCTGATATTTTTCTTTATAAATTATATCTAAAAATTAATGTACTTATTAGTGCCTCTGTAATTTAGATTTTTATACAATAGTACTAAATTAATATGTTAAGATTTACCTGTTATTGAAGCAGAAATAGCTACAGAAAATCATCAAAGAAATAAACTAAAAATTAAAACATTTATCAAAATATCAGCCAGGATTAAGTTTACAAAAATAATTAAATAAATCAGTAAATCATTATCATTTAATTAATAAAATCAAATAACAATCATTCTAATCATCATATATCATTTTGATATCTAGATCTTTAATAATAATTTATATAGTTATATAAATATCATCATGAAATTTAAATAAACAGAAACTATCAGATAGCGAAATAAGAAAATTAAAGCACTTTTAAAATATTAGTCAGGATTAAGGTTTTACAAAAATAATTAATTTAATGGTAAATCATCATCATTTAATTAATAAAATCAAATAATAATCATTCTAATCATTATATATCATTTTAATATCTAGTTCTTTAATGATAATTTATATAGTTTTATAAATATCATTATGAAATCTAAATAAACAGAAACTATTGGGTACTGAAATAAGAAAATTAAAACACTTATCAAAATATCGGTCAGGTTTAAGTTTTTACAAAAATAATTAAATAAATCTGTAAATCATCATTGTTTAATTAATAAAATCAAATAACAATCATTCTAATCATCACATATCATTTTAATATCTAGATCTTTAATATAGTCATATAAATATCATCATGTTATTTAATTAATCATTAATCTATCTAATAATATCATTTGTCAGTTTTATGAAAATTTTTTTATTCTTCATAATATCTACTTTTATTAAGATTTTAATTTAAAATGCATTTAAACTTTCATCTATCTTTTGGCCTATATATTGTTGATTATACTATTTCTTTAAATATCTTATATCTGATTTTATATTTTTTGATTTTATACA